AACCAGGAAGTAGGCGGGTCTTCTTTCCACAGGGACACAGCCTACTTGGTAGAGGTGTGACAGAAAAGGGGAAACACAAAAGTGACAGCGACAGCCGTGACACTCACCTGCAAAGGTTAATGATGGGACCTCCTAATGTTAATATATTTGATTTGCAGTTTGACTTCATTTCAACCAGGCTTCACTGAGACAAAACCCTTTTTCTTTCTCTTCACAGATACTTGTGATGAATGTCTCAGAGTCAGAGAGGACACAGCCTCACATGTCATCGAGGAGAGTATGAGATAGGGGAGGAATGCTGCCCTGTTTGTCCTGCTGGTAAGATCCAACTGAATGTTAAAGGGATATTTCACTTAAAATATGGAGTCTTTTTTTTACTGCCAGATACCAACAATAATTACCAGAATCAATCACTCCATCAGGGCCCACAGTTGGTGCTGTTTATGTTACAGGTTTCATGTATCTGCGAGTTTATTCCTTCAGTGTGACTCTGTAGCAGACAGCAGTTCACTTTGCAAAGCTCACAACATGAGCTTTACCCTCCAAGATTTAACTTTTTCATTTAATAGAAACATTATATTACATGAAATTGAATTGTTCTTTTGTTTTCAACAGGAAGTCGAGTTAAAACAGATTGTACAGAGTTCACAAGTACTTCCTGTCTGCCCTGCACTGAGGGAACCTTCATGAATCAGCCGACTGGACGTAAACAATGTTCCCCTGTTCAACCTGTGTTGCAGGTAGGCTTCTGGGAATAATTCAAATCATTGTGTTGTGGAAATTGTATCTTGCTGGTGAGGGATTGAGCAAATAATTGAGTAACAATCAACCATTGCCTTTGAAGAATTTATTAATAAAAAAGAATAAACAGAAACATACTAAAACACATATACAGCTGGTCCAGAGAGACCGCTTCGGCGTCTGGCCCCGCGCAAGGTTTGCATAATTTACACAGTCTAGGTTTCTACGTTTGGGGAACAGAGATCCTCGCCCAGCTCTCCCAGGAGAGGAAAGGAACAACAAGAGAGGGAAAAGACAAAAATAATCTCACAGCTCTGACCTAAACCTAGTAAATGTGGACGGACTAACATAAGGAGTAGAAGAAGGAAAGGTTAAGGATAGACACAATACATATATATCTATAAGACATAACGACAATAGTAATAATAATATTAAAAGTCATACAAAAGATTAAATGTAAGGACACAATTTTCTGCCATAACACAATGAAACTTAGAGCCTGGAGTTCAAAGGCAGTAACTTGCGTATTACTGCAAGTTCCACTGTTAAAGCTGTGGAACAGCTAAGGAAACTGTTGAAGATTGGTTTGACAATGTCATTGCATAGAAGCAGAGACTCATTTTGATGAGTTTACTACACATTACTGATTTTGCTCTGAAAGTGATGAACTGCATGCAGAAACAAAGACCTTGTGTGTTATGAAATACTCTGAAATACTAAGTGAAGAAATGTTGTGTGTCGCAAAAGGATCATTTCATGAGTAAGCTACAAGACATTCAACATCATTTATTTTGCAGTCGATGTATTAGGCTGTTAATTTCAGCTGTATTTCCTCTGTGCATGTCTAGTAGATTAAAAGTGTAGTATCTCCATATGTAACCTCTGTATGTGCTGACAGGTTCTGGTTTGAAGATAAAGACGTCATGTACAAAACATCAGATGCAGTTTGTGAACCACTGGAGGGATTCTACTGTCTGGACTCTACAGAGGACAGCTGTATGACAGCAGAGACACACAAGCTGTCAACCAGGACAATACATCAGTCAGAAAGGTTGGTTTCCTTGTGCTGACTTTAAGCTTCTAACTGTAGTTTAAGTTTTAAATGAACCAAGGTTTTGAGAAACGGAACTTAATGACAACTTCCTCATTAAAGCTGCAAGTGGTTATTTCTGACC